TATATATATATATATATGAGGAGGGTTCAAACGACACCGGTATAACTTTAACTAAGTGTTACACCGCTTAATAACTTTATATTAATTGTGAATTTTGAAAATCCAACCGTTAGATTGAAAGTTCATATCTCTTAGATCATATCTGTCAAATTTTATATTAATCTAAGATGATTTGATACTTCATTCTCATAAAAAAAAATTGACGTAATATATACATATCAAAATATACTAAAATATGAACACTTTGATTACCTTCAAGTTGTTCAATTTTAACAAAATTTGATATACATGTATAAAGTGATATGAATTTTCAATGTAACAGTTGGATTTACAAAATTCATAATTAATATAAAGTTATTGAGTGGTGTAACACTTAGTAAAAGTTACACTAGTGTAATTTGAACCCTCCTATATATATATATATATAGGAAGGTTCAAACGACACTGGTAAGTGTTACACCGCTCATTAACTGTAAATTAAATGTGAATTTTGTAAATCTAACCGTTAGATTGAAAATTCATATCACTTTATATGTATATATCAAATTTTGTTAAAATTGAACAATAACTTGAGGATAATCAAATTGTTCATATTTTAGTATATTTTGAAATAAATATATTACTTCAATTTTGTTTTATAAGAATGAAGTATCAAATCATCTTTGATTAATATAAAATTTTGTATATATGATTTAAGAGATATGAACTTTCAATCTAACGGTTGAATTTACAAAATTCACATTTAATATAAAGTTATTGAGCGGTGTAACACTTAGTAAAAGTTATACCAGTGTCGTTTGAACCTTCCTGTCTCTGTATATATAATTCTAACTTATATGAGACATTCAAATATGTTACTAAATCTATGGCACACTAAGCAAGCACGGTTTATGATAGCGTCGTTTAGTGTCGTAATCAATTTTAATATCCTATTTTTTTATTCACAAATTACTTTGAAAACTTGAATGCACGATCTATTAACTAATTAATCTGCTAAGCGTCCAGCTAGCAATTCGGGTTGGATAAAAACTAGAAAATCAAATTATCCATTACCTAAGAAGCCAATAAAACTTCTGAAAAATCCATAATTACCTTATTTAGCCCATTTTCAACTGACCAAAACCAATTAATTAATCGCTCTCAAGTTTCTTAACTATACAAAAAAAAAATGAACAAAACCTAAACTAATTAAACAATAACACCAAACCAAAAGTCAGTACAATGAAAGAAGAAAAATAAATACAGCCATATTTTCATTTTCAAACCTTGATGGAAATGAAAAGCCACCAAACCCCTACGTGCATCCCTCAATCTAGTTTTCTTCATATAATTCAACACACCCTATACATAACTCCCCAACCCCACCAAACCATTCATACCTCAATTAATTTGCCTCAAACTATCCCACAAAAGCTTATTCCTAATACTTCTTCCAAAACTAAAACTATCCCACAAAAGTTTATTCCTAATACTTCTTCCAAAACCAAAACTATCTCACAAAAGTGTATTCCTAATATTTCTTCTTCCAAAATCAAAACATCAATGACATCGTTGTTATCATCATCGTTACCACCATCACAGTTGTTACCACCACTCATATTACCTAAAAAAGATTTATTAGTCACTACTGTTGCCACTACTACCGTGAAAAAACCCTCTACATCCCCTCGTGTGCCCATTTCCCTCCAACCAGCAAACACCAAGAGCAAACGTGATTCCAAGCCCAACAAATTCTACCGGAAGTTCCGGTCGGCGTTCCGGTCATTTCCCATCATCGTGCCGCCATGCAAGATGCCGACGGTAAACAGAATCCGCAGCAATGATATGCACATCCATGGCGGCACAAGGATTACTGGAACCTTATTTGGATACCGGAAAGCAAGGATAAACCTTGCATTCCAAGAAAACCCTAATTGCCGACCGTTCCTACTCCTGGAACTAGCAATTCCCACAGGAAAGCTGCTCCAGGACATAGGAACGGGGCTCAACAGGATAGCATTGGAGTGCGAAAAGCACTCCAACAATGAGAAGATTAAAGTGGTTGATGAACCCATTTGGGCACTGTTTTGCAATGGGAAGAAAATGGGTTATGGGGTGAAGAGAGAGCCTACAGATGATGACTTGAACGTGATGCAGTTGTTGCATGCGGTGTCTGTGGCTGTTGGTGTTCTTCCCCATGACATGGCTGATCCTCATGATGGTGAACTCTCGTACATGAGGGCACATTTTGAACGTGTTGTTGGGTCCAAAGATTCGGAAACTTATTACATGTCGATGCCTGAGGGGAACAACAAGGGGCCTGAACTCAGTATATTTTTCGTGAGGGTTTGATATTTTCTCCGTATTGATTATATGAAAATAGTTCTGTTTGATTCAAGTAGAACGATAAAACTTAATACTCAAAATGGAAAACACTAATTATATGAGACATGCCATGAGACAGTGGACAAATAAGCTTGAGTTTAAAATAGATTTAAATTACGATTGCAATTGTGATGTATGTGGCTATGGTCACTAATTATCTATAAGGATGTATAATTATTTTCTTCAATTAGGATAGACTTCTAGTTAAGGTAGAGATGAATTAGAAAAACGAAAGGTTGTGGTGTGTGAATGGAAGGAAAGGTGAGAGTGAGTGAGAGTGAGATGATGTACTATAATTTCTTTGTTTCTTTGGTAGGAAACAAATTTGGATCTTTTAATTTTAATTAAATTGTATGTTAGGAGGACATAGATTCGTGTATTTACTTTTCTTTGTATTTTCGTTTGAAGGTGACAGATTAAGAATGATTCGAGAACTTCTGTTTAAGTTCGGTGGTGCTAATTCATGTTTTAGTTAACATTGGGATACTTGTATGTGTGTTTAGTGAAAATATTTTCATGGTGTATATTTGTCTTTGGCATGTAACATGGATCCGGAATTTATTGGGTTTCCTAAAGTACTTATTAATAGTTTCACTTTTCACTAATGATTTGTCAAGGGATTAATTAAGGGAAGACATTTGATATATAAATTTACATAATGTGAACGAAAGACGTGAAGACCAATATTTTTGGAGAGCTGCTATACAGTCCGAAAAAGCTGCCGAAACATCGTCCAAATATTTAAAATATTCATATTTTTAAATAAATTTATTATAAAATATTATTTAATTTAAATTGTTATTTTAAAAATTCGAAATAAGATTCGGAGGATTGTTTCAGAACTTTTAGAATTTTTCATATTTTTGACTACCATCATTCTCCAGCCTCTCTCTCCATCTCACACACATATAAAAGATGTAATTTGTATTCGATAGTTGGCATATTATAAATATACTTTTCAGGTTCAAGTCAACAGTATTTTTTGTTTCTATATTAGTTTCTCTCTTTTTCTCTTCTCTGGATCCAAGTTTTCTAACATGGTATTCTACTCGTCTTAGAAATTTTTTTATTCTTTTTGTTTCTTCATTTTTCTCGAGAAAATCAAGACCCCATTCTTTCAATCTTTCTATGTTTGCTAATGTATGGGGTGTGCGACAGCCAAGTGAAAGAATGTGTGTCCAAACTCAAATTTTGATCGGAATATAATCAAAGTTTCATATTATTAAAATAAGATGATGAATATAAATTTATAGTATACAAATGTCTATTAGAAAAAGACTTTTTGAATGATGTTCAAAAGCAAAATCACAAGAGTTTATGTTCAAAATGGATAATTTCATATAAATTTAAAGACATGTGTGTGAATTCCGGTGCACAAATTTAGTATTAGTGCCAATTTTATATGATTTAGAACTTGATGTTGATACACCTAATTTTTATTTTAATATTATATGGGTTTATTGAATTGTAAATATGTTAATAGATGTAGTTAATTATAATCATAATATGACATGCATGGTTGAATTGAGGTGAGAATTTGGGAAGATTTAAAAAAAAATGAATATGGGTGAATTTTAATTGCCTTCATGCTAATTCTATTCTCTACGATAAAATTTGTTATAACCTTTATCTCATATCTCATAACGTATAGATAAATATAAAATTTATAACATATACTTTTCTTAATTAAACCAAAACGAATCAAAGTATCATATTGTTAACTTAAACAAACTACCATAATCAAACTAAAATTACTAGGTGTATTATCCGTACTTCGAATCCGGGCTTCTAGCCCGGATTGGCCACGTAAGGCGACCTCGAACACGAGTTGGACGACGTCAGCTCGGCATTTGAGTAAATTGCAACTGAATCCATGGGATCCCGCCCTAGACGGGCTCCCCCACTCAATCATATTATTATTATATAATATCATAACATATCTTATCTCAGGCCCAAAGCCCAAGAAAAACCTAAACTACTCCAAGGTACGTGCATTATATATACCAGACTATTATTCATACAAACCCTAACTTTGGCATCGGAGTCTCTTTTGCAGGTACCTCCCCCATCTCAGAGCATCAACGTATCAGTGAAGGAGGGTCACCGATCTTACTGGAGGGATCATCCCTACGAACAAATTCCGGTAATATCATTTGGCGCCTACCGTGGGGCCGATCAAGACAGCTCTTATCGGCCACCTGTATGATTTCTACTAGAAGCCATACTAGACGAGCGACAGACGACGCGAGCCACTCAACCACCATGGACAACGACGCTGCAACCCTGAGGCGGCTGATCGACCAAGTCGAGCAGATGCGACAACAGCACGACGCCGACCTTCAAAATATGCATGCCTAGCACGAAAATGACCTTGCAGCGATGCGGACCGCCAATGAGGCAGACCTCGCGGCATTACGTGCCGAGAATGAGCGCATTCACGCCCAGCTCCCTCGACACCACTCCAATCAACCTCCACACGAGAGCGACACTCCTGAGGAAGAGGCACATTCAGCCTCCCAATCTCGAGCGACGACCAAGGCACCAACTTCACGGCCTGCCACACACCGATCTCACGCATCGACGCACAAATCAGGGCAGGGTACCAGCAGAGCCCCCACTCATGTTTCTGAGGGCCAACAACCCTTCCGCCGTCATCCTTTTGTGGACGGCATCATGGAGACCCCACTGCCCCGCGGGTGAAAACCCCTCCACCTCGACCGCTACGATGGCACAATGGATCCCGACGAGCATATTGACTCATATACAACCCAGGTAAAACTTTACACTAATAGTGACGCTATATTGTGTAGGGTTTTTCCGACCTCACTCAAGGGGCCCGCACTTCATTGGTACACCCAACTGCCCGCCGGATCCATCGACAGCTTTAGCACCCTGATACGGCAATTCACGACACAGTACGCCACCAGTCGACCTCATCATACAACCTCGGCCGCTTTGGCCAACCTTAGGCAGAATGACGACGAACCACTGCGAGCTTTCATGGAACGCTTCTCCAGCGTCTCAGTAAGAATCCAGAATTTGAACCCTGAGGTCGCCCTGCATGCCATGCTCATGGCACTCAAACCCGGGTCATTCGTTGACAGCCTATGTCGCGACGCCCCCCGCGACATGGATGAACTGCGCGCCCGCGCCGCCGGCTACATTCAGATGGAAGAGCACTCCGCCTTCCGTGACCAGGTTCGCGGAAAAGGCCCCATGAAACCGGAACAGGGCCACAAAGACAAAATAAAAGTCAATAATGACAGCCAATTCAAGAAGCTGGCCAGAGCAAGCAGAGGCGGGAGGTACGACTTCTACACTCCCCTGAACGCCCCAAGAGTCCACATCCTGGAGGAAGCCAGCAACAGCAACCTGCTAGCCCTTCCGCCACCCGGCCACACTCCCAACAGTGCCGACAAGTCCAAGCACTACCGGTATCACAGGAACCATGGCCACACCACGGAGGAGTGTCGCACGCTCCGAGATCGTATCGAAGAACTCATACAGGCAGGCCACCTCGGCCAGTACGTCCAGCGACAGCAAGGTCATCGAGGTGGCTATGGCGGCCAGGGGCGAGGGAGAGGTCGCGGGTCAGGAGCACGCGCGGACCTACCCACAGGATCCCAACAACATGCTAGCGGCGCAGTGCAGGCCGAAATAAGTCAGGAGACAGAATCGCCCCCCTTGCGGGGAGTAATCAACACAATTGCAGGTGGCTTCGCTGGAGGAGGTGCCAGCAGCTCGGCCCGTAGAAGACACCTACGAAGTATCAACTGCGCCCACTCTACCGTTTCGGTCCCGCATCAAAGCTCGCCGCCGATCTCTTTTTCCGACAAGGACTACGCAGGCGTTAGCCATAATCAAGATGATCCCATGGTCATCGTAGTGGAAGTCGCCAACTGGGAGGTACAGAAGACGCTCATCGACCAAGGAATTTCGGCCGACGTCCTGTACTGGCCAACGTTCCTCAGACTAGACGTCCCACATTTCCTCATCCAGCCGCACACAGAGCCCCTAGTCGACTTCGCAGGCGAGCAGGTTCACACCCGCGGGTACGTAGACCTACTAACAACCTTCGGAGTACCCCCAGATGCAAGGAGAATCATGGTTTGATACCTCCTCGTGGAGGCCAACACCTCCTACAACATCATCATCGGAAGGCCGACCCTGAATCATCTCGGTGCAGTGGTATCCACCCCGCACCTCACCATGAAGTTCCCAGGGAATGACGGTAAGATCATCTTCGTCAAAGCAAACCAGAAGACAGCTCGGCAATGCTACGCCGAAAGTCTGAGGATCTCCTCGTCCGGCAAGGAAAGCAAGGGGGGTTCCCCCACCATAACCCGCTAGATCCCGTTCTCCTTTAATGTATGAACAAAGTTGTGCACTCTTTTCCAGTCTCAGTCCCCGACTGAGAGGGTTTTTAACGAGGTACACAAAAACAATTAATAAAATTACAAGTTTTGCTCAATCCATTTTCTTACCTATTGCTTTTATAAAGATCGAAATCGAACTAGCCTCTTTTACAATTATCAAAGGTCGAATGCGAACCTTCAATGTATTGTTTATTTCAAAGCGAGGTCGAGTACGAACCTTAATCAAATTATCTCACGAAAACCCGAGGTCGAGAAGAAACCCCGGTACTCACTTCAAAGGTCGAATGCGAACCTTCAATGTATTGTTTATTTCAAAGCGAGGTCGAGTACGAACCTTAATCAAATTATCTCACGAAAACCCGAGGTCGAGAAGAAACCCCGGTACTCACTTCAAAGGTCGAATGCGAACCTTCAATGTATTGTTTATTTCAAAGCGAGGTCGAGTACGAACCTTAATCAAATTATCTCACGAAAACCCGAGGTCGAGAAGAAACCCCGGTACTCACTTCAAAGGTCGAATGCGAACCTTCAATGTATTGTTTATTTCAAAGCGAGGTCGAGTACGAACCTTAATCAAATTATCTCACGAAAACCCGAGGTCGAGAAGAAACCCCGGTACTCACTTCAAAGGTCGAATGCGAACCTTCAATGTATTGTTTATTTCAAAGCGAGGTCGAGTACGAACCTTAATCAAATTATCTCACGAAAACCTGAGGTCGAGTACGAACCCCGATATTCACTTCAAAGGTCGAATGCGAACTTTCAGTGTATTGTTATTTCAAAGCGAGGTCGAGTATGAACCTTAATCAAATTATCTCACGAAAACCCGAGGTCGAGTACGAACCCCGGTACTCACTTCAAAGGTCGAATGCGAACCTTCAGTGTATTGTTATTTCAAAGCGAGGTCGAGTACGAACCTTAATCAAATTATTTCACGAAAACCCGAGGTCGAGTACGAACCCCGGTACTCACTTCAAAGGTCGAATGCGAACCTTCAATGTATTGTTTATTTCAAAGCGAGGTCGAGTACAAACCTTAATCAAAACATTCATGCAAATCCGAGGCCGAGTACGAACTCCGGTGCTCTCGTTAAAGGTCGAATGCGAACCTTAATCAAACCGAACACGAAAATATGAGGTCGAATACGAACCTCAACACTTCCGTTGAAGGCCGAGTCCAAATCTTAATCAAACAGTCCATCTCGAATTCGGGTTCGAATCCAAACCTCGACATTCCGAGGTCAAACACGAACCTCGACGCCTTCGTTAAAGGTCGAGTTCGAACTTTAATTAGAATAACTTATTCTAAGGTCGAGCCCGAACCTCGACTTTCCGAGAAGGAACACAAACCTCGACATTCCGAGGTCGGATCCGAACCCCGGCGCTCTTGTTTAAAGTCGAGTCCAAATCTTAATCAAGTAGTCCATTTCGAATTTGAGGTCGAGTCCGAACCTCGACATTCTGAGGTCGAATACAAACCTCGACACCCTCGTTAAAGGCCAAATCCGAACTCTAACACGCACCACTACAAATCCAAGGTCGAGTCAAACCCCCACAACATAACAAGAATACAAGGTCCAATACGAACCTCGGCACTGATAGCTTCAAAGGTCGAATTCAAACCTCGGCACTAGTAAATAAAGGTCGAATTCGAACCTTCATGAAAAACCCACCTAACGAAAAACCGAGGTCGATATCTTACCTCGACATGGCCAACTTAAAGCAAAATATCGGCACATATGAAAGCGTAGAACAAACACCAAACGTGTCCAAAAACGCACAAAACAACAAAAATCAAATGCAAAGCACATATGGGTAGCAAAAATATACACATATACGGGCAAAGTTCCCAGAGTTCAACACTTGAGTTCAAACCAGAAAATTAAAGCAAGGGGAAAATTAAACTAGGCTATTACAAAATTGGCCTACGCAGAGGCGTTCTCGCTAGAGCTGTCCTCGACGTCGTCTTCCTTGACAAGCTTCCCAAAGCGGATGACTTCCTCCACATGCATGGAGGAAAAGTCGAACCCGGGAGCGAGGAGTCGTGCCTGGCGAGCAGCCTTTTGGAAACCCCTTTTGTGCTCCACCACCACGAAGCGCTCGACCTCCGCGAGCCTCCCCTCCGCGGCCGCTTTCTCCGCCGCCAGCTCCGCCCTCAAGGAGGCAATCTCGTCTTCCCAGCCACCAAGAACGACCTCGTTGCGAAGGCGCTCCTCAGCCGCTGCCGCCAACTCTCCTTTGAGAGAGGTCACAACATCCTCCAGAGCCCGCACTTGGCCACGAGAAGATGTTACCTCATCTTCCAAGGAGCGAGCGCGGCCTCGAGAAAAGGCGACGAGCTCCTGCAGCTCCCCCACCTGAGAGGCATAAGTCTCGTTTGACCGCAAGGCGATCTCGAGAGACTTCTGCGCCCTCACAAGGTCGCCCCGTGCAGAGTAGAGCTCGGCCTCCCGCCGCTTCGCCTCATCAAGGGTAGTGCTGAGAGCCTTGTTCTCCTCCCTCAGAATCTTATTCGCATCCTTCCAAGGTTGAAGCCGGCCCCTCAGCTTGGCCAGCTCCTCTTGCTGCTTGGCCAGGTCCTCTCGCTGCTTGGCCAAGTCCTCCTGCTGCTTGGCCCACCTCGGTTTCCAGTGGCCTAGGATGCCCATAGTCCTCTACAGTAGGACCTGAGCAACATCGAAGCTATCCTCAGGACCGACCTCTTCTATCAGCCCCTGGTCCTCGAAGCTCAACGAACCCTGAGGGAAGAACTTCTCAGCGGTCACCCTCGAGCTCCACAGGGAGTCCATGTCAGTTGAGGCACTCACGTGGTCCAGCCGCACCTTCGAAAGGCCCTTCCCGAAACGATGGGCTAAGCTTTTTAAAAGAAAAATTCTTTTGGCCCCACATGAGTATAAGAGGGAGCTTTCACTACCCTAACCCAATTCTATGATCCTCCTTTGAGGTCCTTTCTTTTTCAAGATTTTCAACTAGCACCATTGCTTGAGGAATTCGAACAGATACTGGGAATTTCCTTAGGAAATAAAAATCCTTATATGTACATGGGACATTATCCTTCATTAACCAAAGTTGCCACATCCTTGGGGATTGATGCCAGAGAACTAGCAAGCAAGAAAGTGATAAAAGGAGGGATTGAAGGTTTCTCGAGAATTAACCTTGAGCGATGTGCGTTGAACTTAGCAGAGAGTGAGAAATGGGATGCCTTCATGGATGTGCTCTCCCTCATTATTTATGGGATTGTCTTATTCCCGAATTTTGAAAACTTTATTGACTTTGCTGCGATCAACGTCTTCTTGGCCTTCAAACATGAAAAAAAGAGTCTTGTACCAGCCATCCTTGCTGATACATATCATTCCCTTACCTTGCGCCATGAAAGAAGGGGTGGGATGATTTTGTGCTGTCTGCCTACACTATACTTGTGGTTCACATCTTACATGTTCAAGAGAGGAAGTCAAATTGAGATTAAAAATAAGAGTGAATGGGCTTACAACATAGCAAATCTTAGTGAAAAGACTATCTCTTGGTACTCGCGAGAGAAAAACATTGATGAAGTGATTTGTCAATGTGGAGATTTCCTGAATGTACCACTCATGGGTACTAAGGGATGTGTAAACTACAACCTCGCTCTTGCAATAAGGCAACTCGGTTATCCGATCAGAAGTCCACCGGTTGAGGATTCTATTACTCCTTTCATGGTTTATGATATGACTAAAGAGTTGGATTTTCTTAAAAAGATTAGGCATTCTTGGGACAGGGTGATGAAGAAAGGGAGAGAATTGGGAAAAAGAAATTGTAATGTGGAGGGGAGTTACCAACAGTGGCTCAGCGAGAGGGTCCAACATGTCAAGTTACCATTTCGGGGTCCCATTCCAATTATTGAAGAAACACCAATTCAAGAACCCATGAGTCTAGAGGAGATCGAAAAACTTCAAGAAAAGTTAGCTAAATCTGAGAAAGAAAAAAAAGATATGAAGAAGGAATTAATACAGGCACGCCAAGAGTATCAAGCAGCACAAAAAGAAATTTCCCAAGCAAGACAACGTGTTGAACTAGCCAATAAGCGAGCAAGAATTGAAGAAGAGGGTAAGTTGAACACCCGCAATTGTTTAGAGGCTGCTTTCATAGAGTTAAAGATGCGGAGAGGTGAACGTGACCAAGCTAGGGTTGATGGTGAATGATGGAAAGGGGCATGGGAAACATCCAAAAAAGCTAAGAGATTGGCACAAAAACAACTTGAGGATTTGAAGCAATAACTCAAAAGGGTAATGGCTGAGTACGAAAGTAGAGTTCAAGGCAAAAAAAGACTAAATTTCAATTTGAATATGGACTATCAAGCCACATTGGAGGAGAAAAATCATCAGGTTATGGGCCTGCAGGAAGAAATAAGGCAATTGAGGGATGTCATCGGAATACATGAAGAAAATCAAAGAATTTTAGTAAAAATTTCAGAAACTTAGATCTTGTGTGATAGGGTGTATGATATGCTAATAGGATTAGATGAATCTAATGGTAAATAAAAGTGGTGCATCCATACACCATTTGCATTAGTGGTCCATCAAAGATTTGACCAATTTGAGAAATAAACTTCAGAATTTCTCTCATCGAGAGTCTCTTAGAAACCGTGGAGAATTTCTTCACTAAGAATTCACTAAAGGTTTCAAACCTTACCAAGGTTCCTCAAGCTTCTACATCAACCTAGAAGTATCCGAACCTTCTCCAAGGCTTCTCCTCCATGGAAGCTTTTGCTCATGGAGTTTCAAGCTTCTTTTGAAGTGTCAACCTCAAGAAGCATTCGGTCCAAGCATGGAACTAGTGGAGTACATCAATTTTCTTCACCTAGCTCCATCAGCGAGCCTCAACGGAGGCGGAAACCGGCGTCCCCTGCTCGACATCCTAGCAGTCCACAATGGGAACCTCCGACCTCTCCTGCGAAAACCAACCCCATGTTAGAAAATGAACAAGGTGACATACGGGGAACCATAAAAGTGTCTAAACACTGCTTACCCCAGCAGCACGGGAGGCCCGCTCGGTGGCCTGGGCCACTTCTTCGGCGATGGGAGCGACTGGCCCAGCGCCGGAGGACGCCATCCTGGCAGCATTTCCTGCCTGCGAAAAACGATCTCAGATCAAAAGGAGTGAAAGCATAATAAAAGGCAACGAAAAGCCGAAGAAACAATACTCACCACCTCGGGAACTCGAGCAACCTGCTTAGCTGCCTGTACTCCCACCTCGGGGACGGCCACCCCGGCCTGCAAAAAAAAAACCCATATCACCACAATAAACCAGGCAAAGTCTGACACAGAAGAAACGCATAAGGAAATATGACACTCACATCGGCGGCTTGCGCGGTAAGCTCAGCAGCCTGGGCCGCCTCCCTAGTACCCACTGGGGGAGCCTCTTTAGACGGTGGACTCTCAGTGAGATCCACCGCATCAGCATCAGCGGCTTTGGAGGTCGCCTCCTCGACACCTGGCGGGACGGAGGTTCCCCCAACCTCTTTTCCCCCCCTCTCTTCCTCTTTTGGCTGACCTTTAGAGGGGGAACATCCTCCTCCTGAGGCTCGGGGACCTCGAGTTCTATGACATTGTAGCGATGCTTAAGCTCGCGCCACAAATTCTTCCCCATGATACCTACAGGCAAGAAGCAAAACACATCAGCAAAAGAAAGCTACACAAACCCCAAGCCACTAAAAAATAAACAAAATACTCACTCTCCAAGCCCCTCTCCCTGTATGCCGAGTTCGCAAGCGACAGAACAAGCTTGCAATCCAGCGGGCGAGGAAGCGCAGCGAGGTTGTCGATAGCGGCCACCTCTGAGGCCGTCAGTTTCACCTGGCCTACCCCGTGAAACCTAGACGGTTTGGGGCACCAGTAGAAAGGGAATTTCAGCAGCCCGCCGAAGTAAAACGCCCCATCCTCCAAGGGGTCAACATTCACAAGAGCAACCCGGAAAAACTCTTGCTTGAAATTTTTATACGACTGGGAGTAGAGGGTAAACAAACCCCCATCCCTACTCCCACTCAAGGACAGAATTCCATATGGCGGAACGCCTAACTTCAGCTGATAAAAATGAAGAAAGACGGGAAGGGACACCTCTATCCCCAAAACTATACACAAACTTGAAAAGCCCTCAAGAAACCCTAACTATTGGGGTGCAACTGGCAAGGAGCCGCGTTGACATGGTTCAAAAAATCACACTCAAACTGAGTGAAAGGAAGACAGACGCCTAAATCCCTAAAGAAATAATAGTACATATATAAATGGGGAGAATCGGTAGACTTCCCCATGTACACACCCTCACCAGCCTGACAGGGTTCAAGCCGAATCATTCGGGAGATAGAAGGGTCGCAAACCCTGCACGACCTCACGACCCTATAAACCTCAAGAAAGGTCCGAAAGACACTTTGAACGCCCCCCACCTCACACTTGACCCAGTCATAGCCAGGAATGCC